AAAGGGTGGTCACACCAAATATTGATTTGGGTTTTTCTTTTGTTTGCTCACTTTGCATTTTGTAAATTGATAAACATAAGCAATTACTGTACAATATATATTTTTGAAAGCATTCTTACTTTACAGCATTTTTTCCCACCTGCCTAAAACTTTTGCACAGTGCTGTATTTTTGAAAGCATTCTTACTTTACAGCATTTTTTCCCACCTGCCTAAAACTTTTGCACAGTGCTGTATTTTTGAAAGCATTCTTACTTTACAGCATTTTTTCCCACCTGCCTAAAACTTTTGCACAGTGCTGTATATCCCAACTTTTCATACTGGAGTTTAAGGCTACATATCCACTCCTCCTATTTCCCCTCTAATAACTCTGTGAGGTAGATTGGGTTAAGAGTGAATGACTGTCCCAAAGTCACACATACATTTTTGTTGCTAAAGGTGGACTGTATCTTGGATCTTCTGGCGCCAGACCAATACTTAGCCACTTCCATACTGGCCTTCCATACCAACTGTTTATTTTTAGTTTTCTTAATAATTTCAAGCATGGAATTTGCTTTAAAAAAACCAACAAAACAGCAGCCACACACTGTAATGATGTTCTTATTGAGCTATCCACCTTGATGCCAACTCTCCTTTCCTGATTAAAAGAATCTGCGCTGGCAATAATCTGCATACACGACATGCCAATGTGCATCATTTTGAATTTACATACCATCTCTACTATGAAATTTGCATCCCTACACAACTGCAGACTTGAAAAATGAAAGACAATTCAGATTCGCAATATTTCCTTCTCCCAAAACTGCTATCAGTTGCGGAACAAGCTAATCATGCAAAGGGTCAAAAACTTGTGACCAGTCTACTTTTCCCAGTCTAACATTATGCACTGGCATTATGTCGGACTTCTATCAGGAGGCCGACCCTAGTTAGTTTCGGGATCAGCCAAGGTCGGCTAAGTGCTGCCACCTGCTGAAGATGGTTTCTAAAATTCTAGTTACTACTCAATTATTCAACCAGACACGACGATAAAGTTTTATAAGCAATTATAGAAAATATCAACTGCAAAATAAACAAAAAACGAAACACACAAAGCAAAACTATATAACTGCTCCTCAAACAACCCTCCAGGAAGCAGGAGGAAGAAGCGAGACCGCCTGCAGTGGTAATTGACGCATGCGTAAAACATCTCGAAAAGCGCTTCCCTACCACAGAAGAGAAGCACAATCTCGCGAGATGTTAGCTGTACTGGACACCGAAACAAACGAAGCGTTCGGAACGTGACGATAGAGAGAAAAGTACTTCAGCATTTTTTTTTTTCTCGGTTTCTTCTCTTCTTTTTTCCTTGGCCGGTGATGGCGGCCGCAACGTCGGCGACGACTCCGCCTGCTCACTGGAGCCGCTTTGATCAGGAGCAAGACCTAACGGTACGGGAGCTCATCCGGCAAGTAACCGGCCTGAACGAGCGGAGCCCCGAAACGTCTGGCCATTTCCAAGCGGCGCTGAATTTCGTCTGGTCGAACTTCAGGTCCGTTTGTCGCGCGCGCGGATGTGGTGGTGGTGGGGGGGGAGGGGGGAACGGAGGCATCTCGTATCGCGGTAGCTCGGGGCGGGCGGCGCGAGAAAAGAGGCACGCGGACAGCTCGCTTGCAGGAGAGCGTGGAGCCGCCTTTTCTTCCCATTGCGCTGGGGCGATTATCTTGCAGAAGTCATTGATAGCATGGGGTCATTAGAGCCAAGCAAGTTTGAGGAAGGCTGTCATCTTCACACAGCATGCTCAGCCGTGATTTACTTTTATAGGTTACTGAATAAAAGATATCTGGTTTGGTTCAGACACAGCCATAAGCCGTGGTTTCCAAATCACCGTAGCAAGTTTTTCATATTGTGGCTTAGCGTATTGGGTGAACCTACCATTTGAGAGAAGACCCAGGCTGGCTAGCGGAAAAGCATCGGCCCCTGCTTGGTACCCGCCTTCTTGCGCACTCCAAAGGTAGACTTACCTTAGAGTGTCTGGTCTTCCATCTGGACGCTGACCTAGCTCATATGTTGGGTTAAACATATAATACTAAACAAACTATAATATAGTTTGTTTGTAGCCTGTCATGTTACATGAGCCCAGGCAATGTGGCTTGTTTACCGTGGTTTTTCCCTTAGTGCAAAACTTAAGACTGCAGTGTAGTCCCTGCAGGTTCTGCAGAAGTCACCAAATTGAGATGCTCTAGAAGCTACATACTTTTCAGAAAGGGAAAATTATTAAATATGCAAGGAGTAATCCTATTCCTTGCATTTAATTAATTTAATATACATTTAATTATGCTTACATTTAGATTCAGTTACTTTTGTCCAGTCTGACCCACTCCTTTGTCTTTGGTCCCATTTACTTCACAATGGCCTCCAGAACACCTAAGCAAAGCTATATTCCCACTTAGTGTGTTGGGCAAACCCTGCTGAATAGACAATAATTAAACAAACATACTTAGGACATTGTGTGAAATTAGTGAATTAAAGGGTTCAAATAGACAAAATGGTACTTGAGGCGAATGCCAAAGTAATGTTTATGTTTTTATAATCTAATTTTGAGAGTTTCTTGTAGAAAATATGTTATTTCCATTCCTATACAGGTGAAACTCAAAAAATTAGAATATCGTGCAAATGTTCATTTATGTCAGTAAGGCAACTCACAAATGTTCATTTATGTCAGTAAGGCAACTCACAAATGTTCATTTATGTCAGTAAGGCAACTCACAAATGTTCATTTATGTCAGTAAGGCAACTCACAAATGTTCATTTATGTCAGTAAGGCAACTCACAAATGTTCATTTATGTCAGTAAGGCAACTCACAAATGTTCATTTATGTCAGTAAGGCAACTCACAAATGTTCATTTATGTCAGTAAGGCAACTCACAAATGTTCATTTATGTCAGTAAGGCAACTCACAAATGTTCATTTATGTCAGTAAGGCAACTCACAAATGTTCATTTATGTCAGTAAGGCAACTCACAAATGTTCATTTATGTCAGTAAGGCAACTCACAAATGTTCATTTATGTCAGTAAGGCAACTCACAAATGTTCATTTATGTCAGTAAGGCAACTCACAAATGTTCATTTATGTCAGTAAGGCAACTCACAAATGTTCATTTATGTCAGTAAGGCAACTCACAAATGTTCATTTATGTCAGTAAGGCAACTCACAAATGTTCATTTATGTCAGTAAGGCAACTCAGGTTTCACCTTTTGAGTTGCCTTACTGACATAAATGAACATTTGCACAATATTCTAATTTTTCGAGTTTCACCTGTATTGCTATCCTTATAGAAACAATACACATGTATCACTTTTGATTTAATGTTTGTGCTTATGGAACACATTTTTGAAGAAATCTGTGATACATATGAAAAAGATCAGAATTCACTGTACATTTGGCAAAGATTTCGTTTCTTAAAATTTGTGTCAGAATTAATTCTACTCACAACTATATCTGGATAAGAGTTTTAATCTCCACATGTTTGGAGAGCACTAGACTGGGCAAGGCTGCCTTATACAGGTCTGTCTCATGGAGATATGCAATATAGGGTTTTGTGACTACAGTAAATAAATAACAAATTTGAATCCCACCCTTTGTAAAAATGCTGAAACAGTAAACCAATTGAACAAAATACAAGTTAATAGTTTCTGATACATGACACAAAAGATAATTCTGTATTTTTTCTAGGTTTCATCAATTTCTTGACGTCAGTAGGCACAAAGTGGAGAAAATAATGGAAGGGTAAAGTTTTTGTGTTTCTTTTAACATTAGATTAATTCTTTTATTCTCAAAGTGTAGTTAGTAAACATTCCATATTTTTATATAGAATTTATGAAAAGCTCGTTGTTCACTCGGACCTTGTTAAAGCTGCAAGCTGGAGGAAACTAACAGAAGAGTTTCTGAATTTGTCTCTTCCCACCACAGAAGGAACAAAGGTTTGTTAATTTTAGAACATAACTGAATGCTGTGTTCTTTCTTTGTTACATTTCTTTTAATGCTGACCACTTTGTAACAGCAATTTGTATTTGCATCAGTACTTAATAAACATTTTTTCCTGTTCTTTAATATTGATTCTCTGTATTGTGGTGCACTGTCAGACTTTTGCATGTAATTGCCATGAAACCAATTAGCTATTTAACACGGCATGTAAGATACTTGCAATTGTTGGAATAAATTATTTTGATAGGCTAATAGCATTGTGATTTATGAAGACTTATAATGTATCAGGCATAGTTAATAATATATTACAAACACAAAGAATAGTGCCACTCTGTCTGAAAAAAGGGATCATTTGTGGAAATTAAGATTCCTTGGTTAGTTCCAGCACTGTAGTAGTTTCAGAGGCAATAAACTTTCAACTTTGTATTTATGTAGGTGTTAATATTTTTCTGCTCCAATTTGTAAATGAATGTGTGGGAAGGATAGGGACAGTAAGCAAGGTATTTTTATATTTATTCCATATTTATATTTACAGTATTTTATTTTATATTTAAAGAAGAATTGCCTGGGTTTTAGAAAGCTGGTAGTAGAATAGAGAATGTGAAGAAAATCTGGTATTTCTACTGAACTGGAAAGGTATTTTTGCAAGTCAGTTAAGTTTGTGGTTAGGTTCATCACATAATACTAAGAATAAAAAGCTTCTGCTTTCTTGCCATAATGAACTTCTAACACAAAAACAGTAAACATCTGAAGGGATTGTTCTGATCAGTATTAGAGTATAAATTGATTGAACAGTTGAAATGTACCACGTAATAAATAAGTAATTTTTTTTACTTTTTTCAACTTGTGAAGATAAAAACCCATATTGTGAAATATGTGTCTTGATAAACAGAATTATACTGTTATTTTGTATTGTTCCTTATGTATTTGTTGTCCTAATTCTAATTAAGATGTATGATAAACTGAATGTGCTATTTTTCACTTCTAAATATACCATTGGATTGGAATATACCATTGGATTAGAATTGGAATGTGCTGTTTTTCACTTCTAGATTTACCATTAGAATTAGAATTTATTTATTGTGCTATTAACAAGTGTATCCTGTTCATTGAATTACTTGTTTTCTTTGTTTAAGACAGATACACATTATGCCATACTCTCACTCCTGTTATGCTTGTCTGATTCTCCTTCCAACACCAGCTACACAGAAGAACCAAGAGAAAAAGCAGTAGGTAGGTTGAGAGTATCCAAGAAATTATGAGGAAAATGTCATTTCTACCATTTTGATGCTAATATATTTTGTTTAATTTTGCATTGTCCTCTACTTTTAATAATTGATTCTGTGCCATCAAGTCGTTTTTGACTTCTAGATTTTCTCTGTGACAATCTGTCCCTAACCTGTCTTTTAAGTCTTCCAACATTGCACTATTGCTACTGTAACTGAGATATTATATTATTTACATTACATTACAAACTTTTTTATAATAGTATGGGATTATACTGAAGCTTTCTCAATACAGTATTTAACCTTTCAAAATCTCACAGCGTGGCAGCATGATACAACATATATTTGTTTGGTCTTCTAAAAAAACCAGGATATAAATCTAAATAAACAAAAATATTCCTTTCCTTAGATGGAATGTATCAAGGTCATTGAAGCAATAGCTGAAGTATATAAATGTAAATATTCTGCATTTCCCATAGAAAAAGAGGAATTTGACTGGAGAAAATACTTAATGGAAGATGAAAACTTGGACTTTGTTCCTGATCTAGAATCACCAGTAAGTGATACAGAATAATAATTTATACTGAATACACTGATAACATTTAGCATTTAGTCAGGATAAATGGTGAATATTGCCATGTAGAAATTGCTTTCCCATTTTCTTAGGAAATTCCTTTATCTAAATTGTATCATGATTATATTGTTGGTTTCAATAACTTCAGTTTTAATACCTCACGTTTTAATTTCTTCCTATGGCAGTAGCTATAGTGAGATACACACACACAAACATTAATTTATTCTGTCTTTTTTTGCTAATAATTGGAACAGCATAATCATTGATGGTTTTCTGCCAGAAAATCTTTACCTTAACACTCCTATTTGGTTTAGAGAATTGTGGAATTGCTCCATTCTATTACTTCTGTGGTCCAAAAATGCTAATTGGATGAAGAGTGACATTATTAAATTGACCTTTGTTTATGGTAATGTCAAATTGCACACTGGAATTCACAGTACATGATTTATGAAATGAGATAATATATTGAATATTTAAATATTTTAGATGCTACAGTATACTGTAATATATTTAATTTTTTTAATATCTAGTAAATTATAAAAATCATTTAATCTGATAGAAAACATTGTAAGCTTCCATTGTGCCAATATCTTAGAGTAAAGTATATTTTGTGCTTTAATGTTTTATAGGAGTGGTCAGATGTAAGTGATGAAGAAGATACCGAACCTTTGAGCAGAGAAGACTCTGGCATTCAAGTAGACAGGACACCACAAGAAGATCAGGATCAAAGCAAGAAGTCAGCATCTCTTGTCAACTGGAAAGGTTTGTTTTCTGAAGCTGGTCTTTACATCAGAGTGGACTATACCAGTTCTTATCATGGTTTGTTTAATTTACATTTTATGACAGTTTGTGATACTGTGCTGCTAGCAAATTTAAATAAAATGCATGTTTTGGGGGCATTTAGAGACGTGATTCACATTTACTTTACTCAGTTGATCTTTATGCTGATTATATGGTTCATAAAAATCCTGGTAGAACTCTGAAATTGTTAGTAGTAACTACGCTTATGCTGATACAACATTGTCTTTATAGTAGCTGGAATTAGAATATAAAATCTTAATTTCTCTGCTAAGCTTATTTTAGCAGCATGACACACACACACACACACACACACAGTTTAAACATAATGCAGCTTTTGTAATGCTTTCTCCATTTGATTCATTTTTGTATGGAAAACATGAATATATAGGCTATTATAGACATCTAACATTTCTATAAAAAAACCTCAGAGTAAGCTAATACTCAATCTGCATAGGCTTTCTGAAGTGAGAACACCATACAATTTACAGCTGAAAACATAATCTGTTCAATATTTTTTTAACCTGACTTTGAACCTGGAAAGTCTACAAAGGTGATTAAAAACTTTGAGAGCCAATGTGGTGTAGTGGTTAAGATGCTGGACTGGGAATGGGTTAGAGTCCTTAAGCACAGAACACAGCTGGGTGACTTTGGGCCAGTTAGTCTCCCATATCCCAAAGGGGAAGTTGAAAAACAGGTGTCTACCAACCCACCCTGGATTAGCATAGTAGATTATGCTCTATAACCTTTAACGAAGAGGTCTTCATCTTGCAGTGGATTGATATGGGCTGATAATAATAATAATTAAAAACTTTAATCTGTGAAAAAGTAAAACTGAAGCAAACTAATCATTTCTTAAGGAAGCAACTAGTAAAACAATCCCTTCATAGAAATTTCTAACAGTGTTTAAAATATAACATTATTCAGTGTCTAAACAGCTGTCTAAGATGGATTAGAGCAGAGCTTTTTCTGGAAAAAGTTCTGCCAAAAAAATAAGATACTCTTTTTTGGGGAAAGGTCCTCAGATTATGGCCAGATCCCTTCTGAGACAATTGCTTGGCCCAAAGGCACTAAATAAAAGGTCTGTGCAGAGCACCCCTGGGCATACTTGTTTTCCCAAGTTACTGTCACTACCTTATTGTAGGTTGTTCTGAGGTTTCTTCAGAAAACAAAAAACCCTAAGATGTTCTGTTCCTTTCTGAAAAAAAAATGCAAGAAGTAATTTCTTCATTGAAAGTGAACTTTGGCTCAGCATTTTTGTGTCATTTTGTGTCTCTGATCCTGGCTTGTGAGCTTTCAAATGTTTTTTCAGTATGCCAAAGTGCCCTTGAGATTAGGATTTCCCTTGGGCAAGCTTCCAGATTTGTTTGAAAAATTCTAGTAACAAGTTGATTCAAAAATTATCTAGCTCTGTATGTGTGATAGATATTGAAGATTTTTTTACTTACATATCCTCTTTCTCTGTAGATGAACCTGATGCACGTACCTGGTTAGAGCAACATGTAGTGGCTCAGTACTGGACTGGTAGAGTTGTTCGCTTTTCCCATAGTTTGCATTTTCATTCCAATTTAGCTTCTATATGGTAAGTTGCCAAACCCATTTTTAAATTATTACAATTGTTATTCACATATAGAACTATACTGACTTAGTTCTTTCTGTTTCCCTGTACAAATTCTTGTTATGTTTGTGATAAATTATGTAGAATTATATCTGTATTCAAAGTCTCTACCAAGAGCACGATAAGAAAGGATTTGAAGGATTACAGAATTCTTAGATTATGCTTTGCTTATAAGGGGCTTTAAGATGATCTAGGTAAGTTCTGATTTTAATACACCAATAGAATTTTGAGATACTTTTTCCAATAAATATTTGAAGTATTGGCTGGTGTGGGTCTTCCGGGCTGTGTGGCCGTGGTCTTGAAGTCTTGTTTCCTAAC